CTGATGTAGTTACTCAAGCACTCTGTAGCTTTTATATCTGATGTAGTTGCTCAAGCGCTCTGTAGCTTTTATATCTGATGTAGTTACTCAAGCACTCTGTAGCTTTTATATCTGATGTAGTTACTCAAGCACTCTGTAGCTTTCATATTTGATGTAGTTACTCAAGCACTCTGTAGCTTTTATATCTGATGTAGTTACTCAAGCACTCTGTAGCTTTTATATCTGATGTAGTTACTCAAGCACTCTGTAGCTTTCATATTTGATGTAGTTACTGAAGCACTCTGTAGCTTTTATATTTGATGTAGTTACTCAAGCACTCTGTAGCTTTTATATCTGATGTAGTTACTCAAGCACTCTGTAGCTTTTATATCTGATGTAGTTACTCAAGCACTCTGTAGCTTTTATATCTGATGTAGTTACTCAAGCACTTTGTAGCTTTTATATCTGATGTAGTTACTCAAGCACTTTGTAGCTTTTATATCTGATGTAGTTACTCAAGCACTCTGTAGCTTTTATATCTGATGTAGTTACTCAAGCACTCTGTAGCTTTTATATCTGATGTAGTTACTCAAGCACTCTGTAGCTTTTATATCTGATTTAGTTACTCAAGCACTTTGTAGCTTTTACATCTGATATAGTTATTGAAGCACTCTGTGGCTTTTATATTTGATGTAGTTATTGAAGCACTCTGTGGCTTTTATATTTGATGTAGTTATTGAAGCACTCTGTGGATTTTATATCTGATGTAGTTATTGAAGCACTCTGCGGCTTTTATATTTATGTAGTTATTGAAGCACTCTGTGGCTTTTATATTTGATGTAGTTACTCAAGCACTCTGTGGCTTTTATATTTGATGTAGTTATTGAAGCACTCTGCAGCTTTTTTATTTGATGTAGTTATTGAAGCACTCTGTGGCTTTTATATTTAATGTAGTTCTTGAAGCACTCTGTGGCTTCTATATTTGATGTAGTTATTGAAGCACTCTGTAGCTTTTATATTTGATGTAGTTATTGAAGCACTCTGTGGCTATTATATTTAATGTAGTTATTAAAGCACTCTGTGGCTTTTATATTTGATGTAGTTACTCAAGCACTAGATGATGATTCCCTAATCCAAGACCAGCTTGCCAGATTTCTCACATAAAGTGGACTTTTTTAGGACTTTCCACAAGACATAGTGGACAGTGTTGTTACCATGACAACAGTCACAATATAACAATTCACAAGAAAACTGTGTGTGTGACCCACATCGGTGCAGTGACCCTTGACTTATGCTGGTACATGTGACCTGTGACCTTTATTGAAGTCAAGTCAGCAGTCTTCTAGCCAGGACGCTCACAGATCATGCACAAACCACGACATTTTCACAACAGCACGCTCACAGATCATGCACAAACCACGACATTTTCACAACAGCAGACAGAAAGATCTAAAAATAGATCAAAGGCCACATGTTTACAACAACATATAGAGGCAGATCCACAGATGAAATGTGTGGAAGGACATGTTATAGCAGATGCTGTGACGGGTGTGTGTTATGGCATCTACTAGGTTACTGCAGTGAGTCACCAGGTCTTTCCTCAGCTCCTCACACAGCACAAATCAATTACTCATCTGGCATCTCTGTACACTGAAGCATGCCCAAGGTAGGTCATGAGGTTGTGTAGGTTCAGCACCTTGATGACTGGGCCACAAGTAGGTTCTGAGGTTGTGTAGGTTCAGCACTCTGATGACTGGGTCACAAGTAGGTTCTCAGGTTGTGTAGGTTCAGCTGCTTGATGACTGTGTCACAAGTAGGTTCTCAGGTTGTGTAGGTTCAGTCACTTGATGACTGTGTCACAAGTAGGTTATGAGATTGTGTAGGTTTAGCAACTAGATGAGTTGGCTACCAGAGGTTGCAGCATGTCAACAGATGATGCCAGACAGTGAGCAACACACTAATTGTGTAGGTTTAGCAACTACATGAGTTGGCTACCAGAGGTTGCAGCATGTCAACAGATGATGCTAGACAGTGAGCACACTAATTGTGATCGAGAAACAATGCAGAATAAACTTGGTTAATATTGTATTCACAATTCTGGCCAATTCAGCATATCTGTATCCGTTTTCATTCCCATATGCACATTGGCATGACAAAATAATAACATGTACACACCTTACACTACAGCTTTCAGGTTATGTCAGCTCACGGGTTGAATACAAAAGTTGGAATGTACCAACTGTCAAGAACATTTTAAATACTGAATTTACCATGAAATTATTTGACAAAACCAAAATGATAGATCTTCACTAAACATAAACAAATTATGATAAGCAAATAGAGACTGCTGTACTGTGTCTTTAAATTCAAATCAACAACAGACAGACAGACAGTGGCTCCAGTTTACAAAAAGAAATCACAAGACAGAAAAGATGCTGTGGCTACAAGTTATCCATCCCATGCAGTAAACTTTCTAGCTGTTACATCTATTCTGTTCATTTTCTGTTTCTGTTAATTTGCCATTCTAATGTTTTTTGGAAATACAGATACCTGCAGCAAATGCTCAACCATCGAAACTTCAACTTATCAGATAAAAAAGGACCATTAAAATCAATGAATTAATGCTGTAACCAATAAATCACCACTAAAACATGAATGCTGCATTCACAACCAACATCTCACCACTAAAACATGAATGCTGCATTCACAACCAAAATCTCACCACTAAAACATGAATGCTGAATTCACAACCAACATCTCACCATTAAAACATGAATGCTGCATTCACAACCAACATCTCACCACTAAAACATGAATGCTGCATTCACAACCAACATCTCACCACTAAAACATGAATGCTGCTTTCACAACCAACATCTCACCATTAAAATTTGAATGACGCATTAACAACCAACATCTCACCACTAAAACATGAATGTTGCATTCACAACCAACATCTCACCACTAAAACATGAATGTTGCATTCACAACCAACATCTCACCACTAAAACATGAATGTTGCATTCACAACCAACATCTCACCACTAAAACATGAATGCTGCATTCACAACCAACATCTCACCACTAAAACATGAATGTTGCATTCACAACCAACATCTCACCACTAAAACATGAATGCTGCATTCACAACCAAAATCTCACCACTGAAACATGAATGTTGCATTCACAACCAACATCTCACCATTAAAATATGAATGACGCATTAACAACCAACATCTCACCACTAAAACTTTAATGCTGCATTCACAACCAACATCTCACCACTAAAACATGAATGTTGCATTCACAACCAACATCTCACCACTAAAACATGAATGTTGCATTCACAACTAACATCTCACCACTAAAACACGAATGCTGCATTCACAACCAAAATCTCACCACTAAAACATGAATGTTGCATTCACAACCAACATCTCACCACTAAAACATGAATGTTGCATTCACAATCAACATCTCACCACTAAAACATGAATGCTGCATTCACAACCAACATTTAACTATTAAAATATGAATGCTGCATTCACAACCAACATCTCACCACTAAAACATGAATGCTGCATTCACAACCAAAATCTCACCACTAAAACATGAATGATGCATTCACAACCAACATCTCACCACTAAAACATGAATGCTGCATTCACAACCAACATCTCACCACTAAAACATGAATGTTGCATTCACAACCATCATCTCACCATTAAAATATGAATGACGCATTAACAACCAACATCTCACCACTAAAACATGAATGCTGCATTCACAACCAAAATCTTACCACTAAAACATGAATGCTGCATTCACAACCAAAATCTTACCACTAAAACATGAATGTTGCATTCACAACCAACATCTCACCATTAAAACATGAATGCTGCATTAACAACCAACATCTCACCACTAAAACATGAATGCTGCATTCACAACCAACATCTCACCACTAAAACATGAATGTTGCATTCACAACCAACATCTCACCACTAAAACATGAATGCTGCATTCACAACCAACATCTCACCACTAAAAAATGCTGCATTCACAACCAACATCTCACCACTAAAACATGAATGCTGCATTCACAACCAACATCTCACCACTAAAACATGAATGCTGCATTCACAACCAACATCTCACCACTAAAACATGAATGCTGCATTCACAATCAACATCTCACCACTAAAACATGAATGCTGCATTCACAACCAACATCTCACCACTAAAACATGAATGTTGCATTCACAACCAACATCTCACCACTAAATCGTGAATGCTGCATTCACAACCAAAACAAACTTCAGAAAGATAAATATTTACTTACCACTGAGTAGCTTTCAGCTACCATTCTAAGCCACATTATATCAATGTACATTCTGAGCCACATTATATCAATGTACATTCTGAGCCACATTATATCAATGTTCATTCTGAGCCACATTATATCAATGTACATTCTTAAGGATCAAATACTGTCCTAGCATATTAATGTGGCACAAATTAACTCTGATAAACTAAATAGCAAGTCAGTGACCTTTGCTTTTGTTTTAGCTAAAAGTTTAATCTGACAAACTCCTGCAGATTTTAATTATTAAACAGATCAGACAGCATTTTTTTTGCTGGGACACTCCAAGAAAATTAATCTTAATAACTAAACTTAGTAAATATTCTTTTGTAGGTTGGCTCTTAAATAGGCTTAAGCATTCTCTTTATAAAGGTTTCTAACAGATTGTACCAAGTGACCCCTTTTTTAACTTTAAAATGGCTGATAACCTTTGACACAACAACAAAACCGTCTGTTAACCCAGTAGTGTTGCTAAAGGTTGCAGGTTATGACAACAACTGAAGCCACTAACAGTGTCATGGCTGTTCTATACAACCTGCCAGCTAGGACTAGTAGTCTGCCTGGCAATCACATCCATTTCTCACTTTCAAAGGCACAAAATGTATATGTCTGCATCAGTAACAGTTGACAAATATGATAAACATGTGGACGCCAACCACTATCTGAACCCTTGGCTTGGTGTTTGAGGGGTGGATGGCAACCTGCGCTGCCTGGGGGGCCCCAAAGTTGCCTGGCTCATGCCCATCTTCGTGGGTGTGCTGATACTGGCTCTCGGGGGTGTGGATGTTGTGCGGGGTGAAATTGATGGTGTTGTAGGTCGTGACTTGATGCTTGTACCAAACGCAACGGTAGGCGTGGTGGCCCGAGGGGTGAACGAGTACAGTCGACGATTGGAGGACAACGACAAGGGTGTTGGTGTTTTACGGCCAGACAAATTTGAAGATGAGTTGCTGAGACGCTTTGTCCGATTCAGATTTCCTGAAGATCCTGAAAGAAATAAAACACAAGCTGAAATGAACTGATTTCAGTCACTGATGAAAGGATTTTTTTCTCTCAAAGTCTCGTCCCTCTCTTTCTGTACATGTAGGCATGTGTACATGTGTACGTGTGAGCATGTGTACGTGTGAGCATGTGTACGTGTGAGCATGTGTACGTGTGAGCATGTGTGTGTGCGAGCATGTCTGCATGTGAGCATGTGTACGTGTGAGCATGTGTACATGTGTACAAGTGATGTGTACGTGTGAGCATGTGTGACACACTAATGCTCATCTCAGAAACTAAGCTTAGTAGCATTGTACAAACAAATGTTACAGCCAGTACTGCTGGTCTCTGTTTTCTCACACAAACATCTAGCTTGTGTACAAATGTTACAGCCAGTACCGCTGGTCTGTTTTCTCACACAAACATCTAGCTTGTGTACAAATGTTACAGCCAGTACTGCTGGTCTGTTTTCTCACACAAACATCTAGTGTGTACACATATACTCAACTGTTGCTGTTTTAAATTATGCATTGAACAAATAAGGAAACTCTCCTACTTGAGTCAAGGATAGAGAAACAAGATCTTGCTAAGAAAAAATAAACTATCTGGCAAAAATAGTTGGCAGTATGAATCATGTAAGTTTCCAATTTAATGTTTTTCATTAAAGTTTACACAAAATATGATGACCGTTTCCGTTTACCTTTCATGACCACTATAAAAATATTACTTACAGCTGGTCGAATGTATGGTTTCTGCCTGTCAGCGAAACTTACACGTCTCACAGCACAAAGTCTATGAAAATCTACTTTTTCTTCGTGTTCACAGGCTGTAAACTCTTGTGGAAAGTTCAGGTTGTTTGTCGACCTCTAGATTTTAGGCTTGTTACAGATTCTCTGAGTGTTTTGTGCACATTCGTTTTACAGCTCTGACATTTTTGTATGCAGATTGTTGGTTCCTTGCCTCTCAGGCAGATGCACTCTGACTGCAAAGGAAGCCCCCAGTTAGTCTACTCTTATGACATGCTTGTTGGGGAAGCAGTGGGTCTATTCTTGTTTTCCTCATAGTGAGGCCCCAGAACTCGCACAGGGGTCGACAGAAATGTATCTACTCCTCATGCCATTAAAAAAAATGTATACTCAAAAAATTTAGTTGAGACCAGTCAACGATCGCTACAGCACGGCTGTCTCTCTAATTTTACCAGTCAGCAATCACTACAGCACGGCTGTCTCTCTAATTTTACCAGTCAGCAATCACTACAGCACGGCTGTATCTCTAATTTTACCAGTCAGCAATCACTACAGCACGGCTGTCTCTCTAATTTTACCAGTCAGCAATCACTACAGCACGGCTGTCTTTCTAATTTTACCAGTCAGCAATCACTACAGCACGGCTGTATCTCTAATTTTACCAGTCAGCAATCACTACAGCACGGCTGTATCTCTAATTTTACCAGTCAGCAATCACTACAGCATGGCTGTATCTCTAATTTTACCAGTCAGCAATCACTACAGCACGGCTGTCTCTCTAATTTTACCAGTCAACAATCACTACAGCACGGCTGTCTCTCTAATTTTACCAGTCAGCAATCGCTACAGCACGGCTATCTCTCTAATTTTACCAGTCAGCAATCGCTACAGCACGGCTGTCTCTTTAATTTTACCAGTCAGCAATCGCTACAGCACGGCTGTCTCTTTAATTTTACCAGTCAGCAATCGCTACAGCACGGCTGTCTCTCTAATTTTACCAGTCAACAATCGCTACAGCACGGCTGTCTCTTTAATTTTACCAGTCAACAATCACTACAGCACGGCTGTCTCTCTAATTTTACCAGTCAGCAATCGCTACAGCAAGGCTGTCTCTTTAATTTTACCAGTAAACAATCACTACAGCACGGCTGTCTCTCTAATTTTACCAGTCAGCAATCGCTACAGCAAGGCTGTCTCTTTAATTTTACCAGTAAACAATCACTACAGCACGGCTGTCTCTCTAATTTTACCAGTCAGCAATCGCTACAGCACGGCTGTCTATCTAATTTTACCCTAGACTAGTCAACAATCACTACTGCAAGGCTGTCTTTCTAATTACCATTAAAGGCTACTCTTCTAAAACGCTACTCTTCTGTTCACACACTCCAGCTATATCCTGTAGAGTGAAGGTACCTTATTCCATATTTACCCCAATGGGTAGAAAATGCTCTACCTCAGTGATATCTGTGTTACTACTCTCTCTAGCCTCTAACAATAAGCAGATGACAGCTACACTTACACTCTCTCTAGCCTCTAACAACAAGCAGATGACAGCTGCACTTACACACTCTCTCTAGCCTCTAACCACAAGCAGATGACAGCTGCCCTTACACTCTCTCTACCCTCTAACCACAAGCAGATGACAGCAACACTTACACTCTCTCTAGCCTCTAACAACAAGCAGATGACAGTTGCACTTACACACTCTCTCTCTAGCCTCCAACCACAAGCAGATGACAGCTGCACTTACACTCTCTTCAGCCTCTAACCACAAGCAGATGACAGCTGCACTTACACACTCTCTCTACCCTCCAACCACAAGCAGATGACAGCTGCACTTACACACTCTCTCTACCCTCTAACCACAAGCAGATGACAGCTACACTTACACACTCTCTCTACTCTCTAACCATAAGCAGATGACAGCTACACTTACACACTCTCTTCAGCCTCTAACCACAAGCAGATGACAGCTGCACTTACACACTCTCTCTACCCTCTAACCACAAGCAGATGACAGCTACACTTACACACTGTCTCTACTCTCTAACCACAAGCAGATGACAGCTGCACTTACACACTCTCTCTACTCTCTAACCATAAGCAGATGACAGCTACACTTACACACTCTCTCTAGCCTCTAACCACAAGCGGATGACAGCTGCACTTACACACTGTCTCTACTCTCTAACCACAAGCAGATGACAGCTACACTTACACACTCTCTCTACTCTCTAACCACAAGCAGATGACAGCTACACTTACACACTCTCTCTACCCTCTAACCACAAGCAGATGACAGCTGCACTTACACACTGTCTCTACTCTCTAACCACAAGCAGATGACAGCTGCACTTACACACTCTCTCTACTCTCTAACCACAAGCAGATGACAGCTACACTTACACACTGTCTCTACTCTCTAACCACAAGCAGATGACAGCTGCACTTAAACACTCTCTCTACCCTCTAACCACAAGCAGATGACAGCTGCACTTACACACTGTCTCTACTCTCTAACCACAAGCAGATGACAGCTACACTTACACACTCTCTCTACTCTCTAACCATAAGCAGATGACAGCTACACTTACACACTCTCTCTACTCTCTAACCACAAGCAGATGACAGCTACACTTACACACTCTCTCTACTCTCTAACCACAAGCAGATGACAGCTGCACTTACACACTCTCTCTACTCTCTAACCACAAGCAGATGACAGCTACACTTACACACTCTCTCTACTCTCTAACCACAAGCAGATGACAGCTACACTTACACACTCTCTCTACTCTCTAACCACAAGCAGATGACAGCTACACTTACACACTCTCTCTACTCTCTAACCACAAGCAGATGACAGCTACACTTACACACTCTCTCTACTCTCTAACCACAAGCAGATGACAGCTACACTTACACACTCTCTCTACTCTCTAACCACAAGCAGATGACAGCTACACTTACACACTCTCTCTACTCTCTAACCACAAGCAGATGACAGCTACACTTACACACTCTCTCTACTCTCTAACCACAAGCAGATGACAGCTGCACTTACACACTCTCTCTACTCTCTAACCACAAGCAGATGACAGCTACACTTACACACTCTCTCTACTCTCTAACCATAAGCAGATGACAGCTACACTTACACACTCTCTCTACTCTCTAACCACAAGCAGATGACAGCTACACTTACACACTCTCTCTACTCTCTAACCACAAGCAGATGACAGCTGCACTTACACACTCTCTCTACTCTCTAACCACAAGCAGATGACAGCTACACTTACACACTCTCTCTACTCTCTAACCACAAGCAGATGACAGCTACACTTACACACTCTCTCTACTCTCTAACCACAAGCAGATGACAGCTACACTTACACACTCTCTCTACTCTCTAACCACAAGCAGATGACAGCTACACTTACACACTCTCTCTACTCTCTAACCACAAGCAGATGACAGCTACACTTACACACTCTCTCTACTCTCTAACCACAAGCAGATGACAGCTACACTTACACACTCTCTCTACTCTCTAACCACAAGCAGATGACAGCTACACTTACACACTCTCTCTACTCTCTAACCACAAGCAGATGACAGCTGCACTTACACACTCTCTCTACCCTCTAACCACAAGCAGATGACAGCTACACTTACACACTCTCTCTACTCTCTAACCACAAGCAGATGACAGCTGCACTTACACTCTCTCTCTAGCCTCTAACCATAAGCAGATGACAGCTACACTTACACACTCTCTCTACTCTCTAACCATAAGCAGATGACAGCTACACTTACACACTCTCTCTACTCTCTAACCACAAGCAGATGACAGCTACACTTACACACTGTCTCTACTCTCTAACCACAAGCAGATGACAGCTACACTTACACACTCTCTCTACTCTCTAACCACAAGCAGATGACAGCTACACTTACACACTCTCTCTACTCTCTAACCATAAGCAGATGACAGCTACACTTACACACTCTCTCTAGCCTCTAACCATAAGCAGATGACAGCTACACTTACACACTCTCTCTACTCTCTAACCATAAGCAGATGACAGCTACACTTACACACTCTCTCTACTCTCTAACCATAAGCAGATGACAGACACACTCTCTCTAGCCTCTACCATAAGCAGATGACACTACACTACACACTCTCTCTAGCCTCTAACCATAAGCAGATGACAGCTACACTTACACACTCTCTCTAGCCTCTAACCATAAGCAGATGACAGCTGCACTTACACACTCTCTCTAGCCTCTAACCATAAGCAGATGACAGCTGCACTTACACACTCTCTCTACCCTCTAACCATAAGCAGATGACAGCTACACTTACACACTCTCTCTAGCCTCTAACCATAAGCAGATGACAGCTGCACTTACACACTCTCTCTACCCTCTAACCATAAGCAGATGACCGCTACACTTACACACTCTCTCTACTCTCTAACCATAAGCAGATGACAGCTACACTTACACACTCTCTCTAGCCTCTAACCACAAGCAGATGACAGCTACACTTACACACTCTCTCTACTCTCTAACCACAAGCAGATGACAGCTACACTTACACACTCTCTCTACTCTCTAACCACAAGCAGATGACAGCTACACTTACACACTCTCTCTACTCTCTAACCACAGATGACAGCTACACTCACTCTCTCTACTCTCTAACCACAAGCAGATGACAGCTACACTTACACACTCTCTCTACTCTCTAACCACAAGCAGATGACAGCTACACTTACACACTCTCTCTACTCTCTAACCACAAGCAGATGACAGCTGACACTCTACACCACAAGCAGATGACACCTACTCTCTAACCACAAGCAGAGGACAGCTACACTTACTCTCTCTACCTCTAACCACAAGCAGAGGACAGCTGCACTTACACACTCTCTCTACCCTCTAACCACAAGCAGAGGACAGCAGACTGACAGCAGATGACACTTTACACACTCTCTCTACCCTCTAACCACAAGCAGATGACCGCTACACTTACACTCTCTCTCTACCCTCTAACCACAAGCAGATGACAGCTGCACTTACACACACTCTAGCCTCTAACCACAAGCAGATGACCGCTACACTTACACACTCTCTCTACCCTCTAACCACAAGCAGATGACAGCTACACTTACACACTCTCTCTACTCTCTAACCACAAGCAGATGACAGCTACACTTACACTCTCTCTCTACCCTCTAGCCACAAGCAGATGACCGCTACACTTACACTCTCTCTCTACCCTCTAACCACAAGCAGATGACAGCTGCACTTACACACACTCTCTACTCTCTAACCACAAGCAGATGACAGCTGCACTTACACTCTCTCTCTACCCTCTAACAACAAGCAGATGACAGCTGCACTTACACACTCTCTCTACCCTCTAACCACAAGCAGATGACAGCTGAACTTACACTCTCTCTCTAGCCTCTAACCACAAGCAGATGACAGCTGCACTTACACACACTCTACCCTCTAACCATAAGCAGATGACAGCTACACTTACACTCTCTCTCTACCCTCTAACCACAAGCAGATGACAGCTGCACTTACACACTCTCTCTAGCCTCTAACCACAAGCAGATGACAGCTGCACTTACCGAATGTTTCAGTGGCAGGCCCTAGGGACAGGGACAGGTTGCTGGCCAGGTTCATCATGGAGGTGGCGATCCTGCTTCGTCTCAATGAGGAATCATTACTTCCTGTGAGTAAGATTGGTTTATGATGATGGCTAATAGCAAATAATGTGTACACAATGACATCATCAATCTAGCAGGAGAATCTATCACACAATGACATCATCAATCTAGCAGGAGAATCTATCACACTATGACATCATCAATCTAGCAGGAGAATCTATCACACAATGACATCATCAATCTAGCACGAGAATCTATCACACAATGATATCATCAATCTAGCAGGAGAATCTATCACACAATGATATCATCAATCTAGCAGGAGAATCTATCACACAATGACATCATCAATCTAGCAGGAGAATCTATCACACAATGATATCATCAATCTAGCAGGAGAATCTATCACACAATCACATCATCAATCTAGCAGGAGAATCTATCACACAATGACATCATCAATCTAGCAGGAGAATCTATCACACCATGTCATCATTGCTAGCATACTTAATCAGTTGTTTTAACTTCTAAGTCTGCCATGCCAAGACACCAACCTACACTTTCCTCCACATCCAGTGGTCACCTGATGATAGTTGTTTCTGCTACTGCCACCACGACAGGCTGTGACATAATGAAGAGAGGTGCCTGGTTCCCTTCCTCCCTATGCCAACAATATTCAGCAAATAGTGAATATTTTACCATACCCATCGTTAAATTTATTGAGAAGCAAAGAATGAAATGGTTTGGTCACCTAATGAGAATGGAACCAACGATGCCAGCATCAAGAGCATACAACATGAAAATCGAAACAACAAGAGGCAGGGGAAGACCAAGAAGAAGATGGATTGAAGGAGTCACGGACAACTTGAGACTTCATAACATCACGGCATATGAAGCGACTGAGCGCGCCCTGGCTCGGTTGCCGATCATCTGATAGACTGCGACGCCTAGCGGCACAAGCAGATTTTGACAAAAGAAAAGAAGAAGTGAATATTTTCCAGTAGCCATTTTGTGGAGGCTGGGTCAACCCTAGAATCAAGGTCAGAAGCAACAATGTCGCGTCTGCTGAGGACTGAACCCAGACCCCCGTCTCGGCAGGAATGTCTGTAACCACCAAGTTACTGAAGCTAAAATTACAAATAAGGACACTATGAACAGACAGAGTAGAGACTCTTTAACTGAGTACCCTCTGGCAATTCTGACTTTTAGCACAAAGTTCATGGACTTTCATGGTTCTGGTTCCAGGAAAAACTGTAAAAGAAGAAAGTGGGGCTTTTGCCTCAACTACAAGGTAGTCTGACTATGGAGATGATGGAGGTAACAAAAGCAACGATGTGGCCAGAAGCACAGCAGTTTTCCCATGTGTGCTTTCTAAGTAATTCAATAAGCATGCTTAAGTAGATACAGACTGCATGGATTTGAAGAAAATGTTTGAAGTCGCTGATGAAATCTCATCTGAAAGGAATTCAGTTTAATTTCTGTGCCAGGACACTCTGGGGTATGAGAGAGTGAACGAGCTGATTGGCTTGCCAGCAGGGCCACGGTAGGTACAGGAAAATCAATGGACCGGCCGACATTCTCAATGCTCTCAAGAAGGCTGGACAAGAAGATGATTCAGAAGACGACCTTGAATCAGAAACACTCTAAAGACAACAAGAACTTCAGGTCAACTGAGGTGTCGCCAAACATGAACATTATGCAGGTAGCCAAATAAGAAAAGTAAACCAACATAAAAGTCGTGTTGTCAGTTGCTAAATGCTGGGGGATATACTGAAGATGGGATCCGAGCACTTATGGACTCGTCTGATGTGCAATGCAGATAATCTTTTGATTAACTATTAAATTAAGGTAGAGACAACAATAAAGTTCAAAGATGAACTGTAGGAATTAAAACAAGAGGCACTATTTATAAAGACAATAATACTTTTCACATACCAGATGAGTTCGATGAAGCATATCCTGTATCGTTTGGTCGCCGCCGCACTCCGGTAGGAAATGGCGAAGTTCGCCCACTAGCACTGCCTGGTCGTACGGTGTAACTGTTGTTTGGTGTCGATGTTTGAGGACGTGGGGAGTGTTCATGGTACTCCAAGTTTGTGCGCCCTTTGCCTGATTGTGGACAATATTAGATTGTGGCCAGTGAGTGAGAGCAATCTAATACACAATCATTGAGTTATTTTATCAGCAGTTTATCCCACTGTAATTTAATGAAACAATTCTAAAAGCATTTTCTTTTCTCCACTCTTGGATTGCCTCCAGCATCAGGGCAGGAAGAGATCTCTCGAATGGCCCTTTTGTTCAATTCATACAAAGAACTTTTCAGTGTCTGATATTTCTGCGGTCCATATTCTGCGTGATCAATCTCTGTCTTTGTTACTGTTGTATCTGTAAAACACTGCTCTTGGTGATGCCCAGTCAGAAACCAATCTTGTTACATGGCCAAACCATTTGGTTTGTTGTCTACATATAGAGTAAAAATGTATCAACAGCAGAATATTAACTCTATTGAGTTACTAAAAAAAAAAAAAAATTAAAAGTCCTTTCAAAATTTTGTTTGATGACTTATTTCACACAAATCACAAAACACTGATTAAGTGATCCCTAAAGCAAGACTAAAATGAAATGGACACACAAATAAAGTATTTCACACAAATCACAAAACACTGATTAAGTGATTCCTAAAGCAAGACTAAAGTGAAATGGGCACACAAATAAAGTATTTCACACAAATCACAAAACACTGATTAAGTGATCCCTAAAGCAAGACTAAAGTGAAATGGGCACACAAATAAAGTATTTCACACAAATCACAAAACACTGATTAAGTGATCCCTAAAGCAAGACTAAAATGAAATGGGCACACAAATCAAGTATACAATATGTAAACTATCTGAGAAGACTCACCTCGACAAGGATCATTCTGCTCCACAAACTCTTCCAGAGTCACCCAGCCCCCACCAACACGAACCATCACAGTTTTGTTGAGGTAGCGCACCAGGCACAGTTTACGTTTCTCCCCAAACTGAAGATGACACAAACTAAAATGGCTGCTTTCAGACTGTTAGAACTCGCTGACCTAATTGATTTACTAGTTAATTTACGGATGTATCATGTTTTACCTTCCATCACTCAAATCAATGCATGAAAATATTTACTAATACAAAGATATCAGTTATAGTGAGACAAGTAGTGGGAACATTGCCTGACAGAGTTGACACTGTGAAATATCTGGGATCCGTGGACATTCAGACAAGTAGTGGAAACATTGCCTGACAGAGTTGACACTGTGAAATATCTGGGAGCCGTAGACAGTGAGACAAGTAGTGGGAACACTGCCTGACAGAGCCCATAGACATTGAGACAAGAAGTGGGAACATTGCCTGACAGAGTTGACACTGTGAAATATCTGGGAGCCGTAGACAGTGAGACAAGTAGTGGGAACACTGCCTGACAGAGCCCATAGACATTGAGACAAGAAGTGGGAACATTGCCTGACAGAGTTGACACTGAAATATCTGGGATCCGTGGACATTCAGACAAGTAGTGGGAACACTGCCTGACAGAGCCCATAGACATTGAGACAAAAAGTGGAAACATTGCCTGACAGAGCCCATGGACATTGAGACAAGTAGTGGGAACATTGCCTGACAGAGTTGACACTGTGAAATATCTGGGAGCCATAGACATTGAGACAAGAAGTGGGAACATTGGCTGACAGAGCCCATAGACATTGAGACAAGTAGTGGGAACATTGCATGACAGAGCCCCATGTACATTGAGACAAGAAGTGGGAACAGCCTGACAGAGCTGACACTGAAATATCTGGGAGCCGTGGATATTGAACAGACAAGCTGAAACATCTGATGGCAACAGAAATACTGTTTCTCAGGAAAATGCAAACAATTAAATAGACAGATAGAAACATGAATGAGACAATCTTTTGAGAAAGAGACAAAAATTATAAATTAATGAAAGAAATAAGGCACTGATCAGTCAATCATTGTTGCTCATGGTATGAAGAGAAAAATTCATAAAATCATAATGACAACTGCAAATGTTACGCAAAGGAGCCAGGGAAAATGAGGAAATAAATATTTAGATCCCTTAAAGTTATGGTACAGTCAAGTGAGAGCACAGATATGATCTGAGTCTCTGGTGATTGGGTAAAAGATGACAAATTGTTGCCGCCCACACATGCCAGCAGGACACATGATGATGACAATGATGATATAGGTTTTAATCTTCCTGTGCACCCAGATCTGTCACCGACAAACACAAGTGCTGACACCTACCATATATTTTCCTTCATCAATCCACTCTGCTGTGAATGGTTGACGGCACTGACATGTCGAAAGCTCTCTCTCGATCTCTGCATGTATCAGCTCCATGTCTGACTGTGCCTTGTGGCTGCTACTCTTGGCCTGGTTTCTCTGTCAACAAACAAGAACACACATTATGTCAGATTTTTCTCAACATTTCTGCAGAAGAATAAACAATCAGGCATTAAACAAAACATCATACTATGATTTTTTTTTACACAACTGATCTCTTAGCTCTGAAAACAAATAGCATAACAGATGGCTGTGCATCTTTAACACATCACTGCTGGATTCATCCTCATTTTACACTTACTGTGACACGGTCACAATACATACACAAGGGGATCAGCAATCATCTCATTAATATTTGAAAAAGCCTGTACACAAATAGTAAATGCTGCATAAAATCGAAGGGAGGATTGTCAAGAACTTTAATAGTGAACTCTGGTGTGCCTCAGGGCTGTGTACTATCGCTGCTTATTTTTATAACATACATGGATACCATATGTAAGCAACAAACTTTAATCATGAAGAAGATATTACAGAATTACTATTCGCTGACGACCAGGTACTCATAGCAGAAAGTACGGACTGCCTACAGAACCACCTAAATCAAATGAGTAACAAAGGGGAGGAATATATTATGAAAATAAACACAACGAAGACAGAGACAATGGTGATAGGAAGGAAGACAATTTAGAAATGAAATTAAAAAACACCTAAAGACAAACAGAGGAATTTAATTATTTGGGAGCAATTTTCACATCCGATGGAAAACTGGACAGAGAAATTAGGTCAAGATGTGCAAAAGCTAATTGTCAGAACCCTGTGACAGTCATGTGGCCGAGTAGTCCACACAATGGGTATACCGTGTTCAGGGTACACCCAAGAATTGACACTAAGGTCAGTGGCGTGACTGGCCAAGTATGTGCTGTTTGTGACGGCGAAACTAGCGCTCAGTAGAGACCACTTGAAGACTACAAGTAAGAGTGAACTTTTTTCCGAACAAGTTCGCAACATAACTGTTCCATGACTTACTGAGCGGGTTAACGGGTCAAAATGCACGAGGTGAGAGAACACAGGGATTCGAGGTGCAGAGTTCAGACCGAGTGGATGTGTTAGCAAGACAGAGATAGAACGTTAGAGTTAGGATATTCTTTTAGTGACTGCATAGATGATTTACAGTGTTATGTTATAATAGGATAGTTTTTTTTGTGCTGTGTATTTAAATGATATAATGTATTGTGTTGTTGTTTCACAATAAGTAGTGTCCATTTATTTCTGACCAGTTAAATCAGTTAGATGCATGTGTCGTGAGCTAATGGCTAATCTTGTCACGCTGACCCTGCGCTCGACAGAAGCTCTGACATCTTGGTGAGCTCGGGTGACAAGGTACAAGAACGTTTCCCCGCAGAGGTGTGGTTTGGGCACCTGGTATTGTCTGTGGTAACAGACTAGAGAGTCAGTGATTGTAAAGCTCGCTCGGCCAGTGTTCCAGGCAACAGGTGGCTATACAGCGGGAAGTCAACCGTCCATTGTAATATCTGTACTTACATTCAAGATTGTCATGTGTGTTCTGTGTGAGTTCGGGTTCAGTCTGTGTAAGGTATAGATTGTCTGTCAGAGGCCCACTCACGAGCCACTGACCATCAAGGTCACCCCGAGGTCTGTGACACTAATCAAGTAATTTGGCAACTATCTCCCCTGTTGACACACAAGCAGATACCTCAGAGTACTAAAGTGAATCTTATCAAAACTATTTTTTTGGCCAACACTATACTATCAATGCCAGGTGTGGACAATTACATCCTCCAATGAACGTAAAATTGTGATAACAGAGATGAAATGCCTTAGAAGAGCTGCAGGAGTTTCAAGGAAAGAAAGAATATGAAATTAGACAAATGCTAGGAATAAAGCCAGTCATCAAAGAACAACAAATGAAGTGGTTTGGAAACCTAACAAGAATGCCCTGGTACTATCTGCCACAGCGAGCCACACTAAAATGTTACAACGGGTATAGAGCGAGTGGAAGACCTCGGAAAATATGTAGTGATGGCATTAAGAACAATCTTACAGAAATGAACATCAGTCTTTATAGTACTCTTGACAGATCTTATCAACAAATGTTCATCTTTCCCCGACACTTTGATAAGGTACAAGGTGGAAGAGAAGAAGAAGAAGAAGAAATCACCTTCAGGACAGACCTGACAACCTAATCAATAATACAATAATGTCAGAAATCTGGCAAGAACACTTGTTTAGATTTTCTGTCAGAAATAGAATTGTTAGTTTGAAGCACAACCACTGAAAGATACATTCCCACCATTGAAAGATACATTCCCACCACTGACAATACATTCCCACCACTGTAGAATACATTCCCATCACTGTAGAATACATTCCCATCACTGAAAGAATACATTCCCACCACTGAAAGAATACATTCCCATCACTGTAGAATACATTTCCATCACTGAAAGAATACATTCCCACCACTGTAGAATACATTCCCATCACTGAAAGAATACATTCCCATCACTGTAGAATACATTCCCATCACTGAAAGAATACATTCCCACCACTGAAAGATACATTCCCACCACTGTAGAATACATTCCCATCACTCAAAGAATACATTCCCACCACTGAAAGAATACATTCCCATCACTGTAGAATACATTCCCACCACTGTAGAATACATTCCCATCACTGAAAAAATACATTCCCATCACTGTAGAATACATTCCCATCACTGAAAGAATACATTCCCACCAATGAAAGATACATTCCCACCACTGTAGAATACATTCCCATCACTGAGAGAATACATTCCCATCACTGAGAGAATACATTCCCATCACTGAAAGATACATTCCCACCACTGTAGAATACATTCCCATCACTGAAAGAATACATTCCCATCACTGAAAGAATACATTCCCATAACTGAAAGAATACATTCCCACCACTGAAAGAATACATTCCCATCACTGAAAGATACATTCCCATCACTGAAGAATACATTTCCATCACTGAAAGAATACATTCCCATCACTGAAAGAATACATTCCCATCACTGAAAGAATATATTCCCACCACTGAAAGAATACATTCCCATCACTCAAAGAATACATTCCCACCACTGAAAGAATACATTCCCATCACTGAAAGAATACATTCCCACCACTGAAAGAATACATTCCCACCACTGTAGAATACATTCCCACCACTGTAGAATACATTCCCACCACTGTAGAATACATTCCCACCACTGAAAGAATACATTCCCATCACTGAAAGAATACATTCCCATCACTGAAAGAATACATTCCCATCACTGAAAGAATACATTTCCATCACTGAAAGAATACATTCCCATCACTGAAAGAATACATTCCCATCACTGAAAGATACATTCCCATCACTGAAGAATACATTCCCACCACTGAAGAATACATTCCCATCACTGAAGAATACATTTCCATCACTGAAAGAATACATTTCCATCACTGAAGAATTACATTCCCATCACTGAAAGAATACATTCTCATAACTGAAGAATACATTCCCATCACTGAAAGAATACATTCCCATCACTGAAAGAATACATTCCCATCACTGAAAGAATACATTCCCATCACTGAAAGAATACATTCCCATCACTGAAAGATACATTCCCACCACTGAAGAATACATTCCCATCAGACAGATAGTACCAGATAAGTTTCTGGCTTTGTCACAGCATCACTTTATGTTGAGCAACATGAGCAAGGTGACACACACAAACAGGAAAGGTAGAGTCTGTCCGACTGTCCTGATGACATAACTTGACTGCACACCCAGACAGTGCAGGCAGAGACTGTCTAAATCACAACTTCACTGCACACATAGACATAACTTGACATGTAATCACTCACCCTGTCTGTCTTGACTGCATCCACAAAGTTTTTATACTCAATAAGGCCTCTCTTACGATTGTCAAACATATCAAATACTGCATTCAATTCTGTACGTGTTGTAGGGAACTCTGAAACAGTCACAGATTTATAGACTCTTGACACGACTGCAGACGTGAAGCATTTACCTTAGCCTACATCATTCATTTTGTTTCTTTTAAAAGGATAAAATGAGTCCCATGGCAAAAACTGTCTTTTGGGGTGTCCAGTGTTTGTCGGTTAACTGAGCCCCTAGGATGATAAGGTGAGGCCACCAATGTAAGTGTGGGATTAGCAGTCCGATTCTTTCTAGTCTGCCACCGTTTCTCTGTGCAACCTCAGCTGCCTGGCAGGCTGATGCACCATGTCTGAGGAATGTACGCCATACAGAACAGTCTTGTGCAGCAGCCTCCCATGACGCTGTGTTAATGCCAAAAGAATTGAGGGCAGTCTTGAGAGCATCCTTATAGTGCGCTTTTTCTGTTTTCCCTGGGACCTCTTTCCTTGCTGCAGCTCGCCATAAAATACTCTCTTTTGGAGGCGATATTCTGGATGCAGGATAGGTGACCAGCCCAACGCAGCTGATAATTCTTCAGTATCGTATGGATGCTAGGTAGGTTTGCCCTATCAAGAACCACAGTATTTGGGATAGACGGATGAAAGTGACTTGCGCAAGGACTTGCATAATTCGTCAACCTTACTCTCCCGCCTGTGTCTATCCTGATCCAATGGCAGAACACTGTTGAGACGATTGGAAATGGACCTAGGTGCCGTGGATAACCAAGGCCCTTTAAGGGTCCTGCCTTGCTCGAAGTTCTCCACAGAACCTGCTGGTAACCAATCGCCTGCTTGTCCGTTGAACCAATAGAAGGTTTCATCCACACACACACAAAAATCTAACTAACATGATAATACAGAAATGAAATGATAGATTAAGATCACATTCTGTCCACAACATACGTCCATACTGTCTGTTTCTCTTGTTGAATCTACTGCCCTCTTTTTAATCACATTTTCTTATGTTGGGGAGGTGGGGGTGTCTTACATTATACTTGAAACGTTGGGGGGGGGGGGGGGGGCATAATCTCAAAGGGGGCATGACCTAAAAAAGGCTAAAGATCACTGATCTACACAATGACAAGAACCACTGATCTACACAATGACAAGAACCACTGATCTACACAATGACAAGAACCACTGATCTACACAATGACAAGAACCACTGATCTACACAATGACAAGAACCACTGATCTACACAATGACAAGAACCACTGATCTACACAATGACAAGAACCACTGATCTACACAATGACAAGAACCACTGATCTACACAATGACAAGAACCACTGATCTACACAATGACAAGAACCACTGATCTACACAATGACAAGAACCACTGATCTACACAATGACAAGAACCACTGATCTACACAATGACAAGAACCACTGATCTACACAATGACAAGAACCACTGATCTACACAATGACAAGAACCACTGATCTACACAATGACAAGAACCACTGATCTACACAATGACAAGAACCACTGATCTACACAAATGACAAGAACCACTGATCTACACAATGACAAGAACCACTGACAATCTACACAATGACAAGAACCACTACACAATGACAAGAACCACTGATCTACACAATGACAAGAACCACTGATCTACACAATGACAAGAACCACTGATCTACAATGACAAGAACCACTGATCTACACAATGACAAGAACCACACTGATCTACACAATGACAAGAACCACTGATCTACACAATGACAAGAACCACTGATCTACACAATGACAAGAACCACTGATCTACACAATGACAAGAACCACTGATCTACACAATGAAAGAACCACTGATCTACACAATGACAAGAACCACACAATGACAAGAACCTACACAAATGACAAGAACCACTGATCTACACAATGACAAGAACCACTGATCTACACAATGACAAGAACCACTGATCTACACAATGACAAGAACCACTGATCTACACAATGACAAGAACCACTGATCTACACAATGACAAGAACCACTGATCTACACAATGACAAGAACCACTGATCTACACAATGACAAGAACCACTGATCTACACAATGACAAGAACCACTGATCTACACAATGACAAGAACCACTGATCTACACAATGACAA